TGATGTTTACAGGTGTTTTGTCTACAATATGTTCTCAGACAATATGCCCCCCCCCCCCACACACACACACACATTCTAAAGTATTCATTTTTAAATGCATTTAACCATTACAATGTAAAAATCCTCAGAGATACTTTTTTATCAGTCTGATGTAATTCAGTGAGTTCTGATATTTCAAAACGCGCTCCACCAGACAAAGTCAGCATATAAATAAATGATGCACTGACACGTGTGAAGCATTTAAATGGGTACATTTGTTTTCAGGTAGATCACAATGATTAAGCCAAGTGTGACATCAGCATGGAAACTTGGAGATGCAGCAGTTTTACCAGAGCCAGCAAAACAACATCATCTACAACAATATGTAACATGCAATGTGACTAAATAACATCATGTAAACCATACAACAATATGGTAATAGTCTAGAGTCCTAGAACTCCCCAAGGCACTTTACAACAATCCTGCAACCACCAGCAGCAGAAGTGTCTTGCTCAAAGACACAACAGCTACCGGCCTGAGCTGGGTGCAATCCTGAATCCTTCTAGTTATGGGGCCAGGTACTCACATTTAATCTTTCATTCAACCTTTGCTTACATGCGATGGTGTTTTTGATTAGGGTTAGCCATTTTGGTCAAATCTGAAAAACTATAAACAATATTTTTGCACCCAGAAGATGTGAATGTAACCAACAAATCAGATTTCAGCTAAATATCAATGAAGTGAACTTTAACTGTGATTTAGGGTGTTTCTCAACGTCAATGCGCCTGGCCTTGCGAGGCCATGTGCCTTGCTTACAAGGACAATGTCCTTCCTTAGTCAAAGAAAACGGTTAAATGGAACAGACTTGCATCACGTGACTGCGGCTTCCACGGCGGTCACGTAACGTCATGTGACACGGGAGATAACGTTATATTTTATACATATTAGTTTCAATATAAATATATAATGAGCCTTTTACTTTTTTAATTGTGCATGTATTTGTTTCATTAAATACATAAGTGAGTTACTACCCGCTAGCCACCGAAGCTGCAACTAATAAGCAACTAACCAACAAAAAATAACTTCTTTGGATCTAAAAAAAAACATTTTTAATTAGTTGACTTACTTTTAAACTTGAAAATTGTCCCCAAAGTTGCTGCTGGCTTCTGATCCGCCGTCCTTTTGAAAATACTGCGGTGTATTCTGGGTAATTTTTGACCAAGGCTAGGCTACAAGACACCTCCTGTGTATCCTCACTGAGCTAGCTAAACGGCTAATAAACGGAGAACACACGCCTTAAATTTCTATTGATGTGAGTTTAATAAAATATATGTTATATTGTTCATGAGGTACTTTGCAAGAAAACACACACACACACACACACACACACACACACACACACACACACTGGCAAATCCCTCTAATACCTGCCTGGTTAGTGGGTGAAGTTTAAACAACTATCTTCCTATTAAATTTTGGTGGTTTTGCACACTTTACACATTTTAGTTCAATTATTAAATGTATTACAGTAAAAACAACTTTGACCCGAGACATTATGCAGAAGTGAAAAACAAATCTGGCAAACACAAATTCATAAAGATTTCAGGATTTATGACCGAAATAAAACTTTTGAGGTGAAATTTAACTCAATAATAATAGCTAGTCTGGTTTTCAAATTAAAAGTTGTATATTGAAACTGATCATATAAATTAAACTTGAGAAACAAGTCTTACAGTATATATAAACATTTTCTGTATTGTGGATCAGCTGAAAATTTTTGAATGAAAACTGCGTAAATAAAAAATATGAAATTCAATGAGTCAACACAAACAAACCAAACCAAAACAGAAGTGACTCAGAGCAAAATGTGATATTTTTAGCAGTTACAGCAAAGACAGTTGTTCTCATTTGTTTATTTCTGCAGACAAGGACAATGAGAGAGGTGAGTGTTGCTATTGTTGTTTACTTTGACTGTGTCCTTGTATACAGAAGAACTTCTGTTCCAGTAAAAGCCAATCCATCACAGAAAAACAAACCAAAGGACTTTATTCTTACGGCTCTTGGAGGTGGTGCAGACGCTTTTTTCCTCCTCTCCTCCATATCTTATCCTCAAGGCCCTTTGTCTGTGTGTGCTGGGTGCACGGCTGCTTCTGCATTTTTTCTGGAAACTGGAAACTGAAATTCACTAAAATGGATTTTGTCAGTTGGTCTCTCAAAGCGATTGATAAAAGTTTTTCAACGATGAGAATGGGAGAAGGGGCTCCCGGATGCCCCGCTGGGACAGACCCAGTTGGACACATCATGGACTCCTGGAAACAGTGGAACTTGATTTGTTTATCTCAGCTGTCTGTGGAAGACTCTGAAGATGTGTGGATATTTGTGGCGTTGGTGTCAGGTTTCCTGCTCATTGGCCTCGGAGGCTACCTGGCTTACCGAAAAATAAACGAGCTGTCGAGGAATATTGACCTGATCCCGGAGCTCAGAGATGGTTTGCACCGCGCTGTGAATTCACAGACTCACATAATTGTCGAGATGAATCGTAAGCTTGGAACTTTGGCCGAGATTCATTATTGGCACAAAAAATGGATGCCATCAAGGAGAGAGTGGACGAATCAGCACGGATTGGGATAGTTTAATGTCCATTATTGGGATTTTGAGAGGTTGAGGACCAACAAACTGTAAGACAGAGAGGAAATTATCTCTGTCTGGCCCCAAAACAATTTCTAATCGGAATTTGGAGCCCTTGAAAACTCCCCCCTCAGAAGGTATGTGGAATGTGCCGTCGCTATGGGAACTCAACTCTGTCTCCTGTCCCAGCCTAGGTGGGACTGCAGGAAGGCCGCTGAAACGTTCCAGGGTCACTGTAACCCTCCAACCCTCAATGCTCCTCCCCTATCCACACTGAGGTGACATGCGCTGCTTATCGTGGCTGCAGGAATTGAAGTGGGGATAGTCCCAACCCACCACCCCACCTAGTGGGTACTTATGTTGTGTTGTCTGAAGTCTGTTGCATCTCTGTCTGAGGTGTTTTTTTGCAGAGCAAAGCTGCCCTCCCAGTAGAGGGTAACTCTGAAGTAACTTTTTTTTCCCTCCACCTGAACCAACCCTCATGTAACCCTCTGATCTCTATTAAGGTAGCGCGAATGACCACAGTCACCAATTCTTCTCATGTGTCTTGCCCATGTATGTCTGATCTCTGAATTGTGGGTACTGAAACTCTAATTTCCCTCTGGGATTAATAAAGCATATTTGATTTTGGTTGGAGCAAATTAGAGTTTTGTTCTCATAATGAGAACGAGAAATCAAGTGAAAATTAAAGCTGAAACCAATGTGATCTAGAAAATCTGTTGGAGTGTGTCCGCCCTTGTTAATGGGCCTCATTACAAGCACACTCCGATCTAATGAGCCATAATAACACCTCCTGATGAGCTGCCTGATAGGTAGCCCCTTTGGACTCGCCGCTGGTGTGGAGACACTGATAGTGGGGTGGGAGGGGCAGGCTGGCAGTGGGCCAATGGAAGTGATAAGACCCAAAGGAATGACACATGACTGGTGGTGGGCATTCATGAAGATGAAAGAACAGTGACATCAACGCTGTGTGTGTGTGTGTGTGTGTGTGTGTGTGTGTGTGTGTGTGTGTGTGTGTGTGTGTGTGTGTGTGTGTGTGTGTGTGTGTGTGACTTTGAGTCATTTTGATGTATGAAAGATCACCATTTTGTTATAATTGCATAAATACTGATTTCTATCTCAACAGAAATCAAAGCTGAACTTAGCCTAATAAAACGACGTGTTTTTATTTCCACTGAAACATGTTTGGTTCTTAAGTCATGGTGGGAATATCAATGTTGTCTGCTGCTGTATCACCAGGATCTGCTTCAGCCTCGGTGCTGGCAGTAAACAGTACAGAAGCTCTTGGATGCTCTTCATCAAAGGGTCAGATCATACGCTAGCTGGGAGATAACTTCTGTTCGTGTGTGTCCTCACAACAGAGACGTTCTTAAGAAATGGTCAATCCTGACTTTAATCAGAATCATTATTTCTGTAGAAGTTTGTACATGTTGCAGCTGTCTTTTCTGACTTCAAGGAGCAGGTT